AAGTCCTCAAACCTGAACGCACTCTGCAGGATATCCTGGCAGATGAAGGGGTTCAAACCATGCACCCTCACCTATCTATCTCTAGAGTCATGAAGAAGGCATTTTGTAACAAAAGGTCATCATGCATCCACATCAGCAAAGACTCCTGTTACATATCAGTCTGCCTTATGATGCTGTGGTTCAGTAAGTAACACACATGGCTGAGTCCGTGTTTGTAGGTTCAGGTCCTGCTTCACCACAAAAGCCGGAGTGACGTTCCCAGTGCAGTAATGAAGGAGTGTTGCACTGAGAAGTAAAAGGGTGGAAAGGGAGAGTGAGACCAATTTGGAACCAAAAAGGGGATTTGCACATGAAAGCAGGGGGCATGGCTAATATGTTAAATTATATTTTGCATCTGTTTACTAATGAAGGAGGTGCTTCCAAGGCCATTGTGAGGAGGGCGGTCAGTCAGTAGAAAGTTTTAAAATGGATAAGAGAAGGTATTGGATAGGCTGTCGTACTTAAATTTGGTAAAGCACCAGGACTGGATAAAATCCATCCAAAAATATTGAAGGAAATGAGATGGAAATTGCAAAGGAAATGGCAAAAATCCCTTAATCTCCTCTTTGTGTGTAATCTACATACCTCTTTGTAGCCACAATGGCCTTTGCTCTTGTGCACAGCCTCTGCCAATTTCCTTTACTGCCATATGCCTTGCAAAATTGATCAAAACCCTGTCATTTCTTTGTCTTGCTATGTTTAGGTGTTCTGGTGATTGTTTGCATTTAGGACCCAGGAGCTCTGTGACCTGCGAGAATTGCTTCATATTTATGTCCGTTCCTCAGTAGCTCTCCGACGTTACAAGTCTTCGAATTGTCCAGCAAATCGTTCTGGGAAGCTTCCATGGAGATGGACACAGTTGTTAAGTTAACAACTCTATTTCCTAGCTCCCCATGTGAAAAATCACATCATGGGCTATTTTCTCTGCATCTGTACACAAAGTGGTTTATGGATTGTGCAGGTTTCTGCCTAAATAATATAAATCATAGTCATTGAATAAGGAAGTATAACCTGACTTTGAATTGGTCTTTTAATGTGGTCCATATCTCAGCTGTTAAACCTAATGTGTTCAGTCTACATTGACCTTCATTTCCAATTGCTAAACAAATCTTCATAGCTTACTTTCCTGCATTCGATACACACAAAACCATAGTTCTGAACACTGTTCAAACATTTTTAAAGTCCGTTAAGAGGTCTGTTGTGTCCCAATTTAAACTAAGGTATTTTGTGACAATATGCCTTTGACCTTCCCTTGATATCAATCCAGCACAAGTTCTGTTTGGTTGCCGTTCTCAAATGAGTTAAACTGAAATTTGTCAACTTTCCAGAAAGCTGTGTTTTCAACACTCTCCAACACTGAAATGAATAAAGACATTGAGGATTGTTTCATGTAATCTAACATAATTGAAAACTGTTGACAATGTGTTTCATCTGTAGATTAACTTGCTTGCTGACTGTTCAAGCATGATACACGTCATCAGCAGAATGTTTAGCATGTATATTTATTTATTTATTTACCATGCTGTTTACCATGCCATGTTAATAATAAAGGAATAATAATCAATCACCCATCAATGTTAGTTTCTTTAAAACAATAAAACATATCATAAGCTCTAAAACAGATATTAAAACAAACCAAATGATTTCTATGTGCAACTGACAAACCCATAGCAGACTAACTGCCAAGATTTGTAATGTTATATATGCAAAGCACGTGGAGTCCTTAAAGATGAACACACTTACAGGTAAAGTACATATACAACATATGGTCATAGACATAGACTTGTACAACATAGAAACAGACCCTTTGGTCCAACCAGTCCACGCCGACCATGTTCCCAAACTAAACTAGTCCCACCTGCCTGCACTTGGTCCATACTCCTCCAAACATTTCCCATTCATGAATTTCTCCAAATATCTTTTAAATGTTGTAATTGTATCTGCATCCACCACTTTCTCTGGCAGTTCATTCCACACACGTGTAAAAAAGTTGCCCCTCATGCCTTCTAGTTTTGAACTCTACCATCCTGGGGAAAAGACACTTGTCATTCACCTTATTTATTAATGATTTTATAAATTTCAATAAGGTCATCCCTCAACCTCCTACGCTTCAATGAAAGAAGTCCCAGCCTTTCCAGCCTATTTTTCTATCTCGAATCCTCCATTCCCATGCAGCATACACTATCAATGAGAGATTATTATTTTATACTACTGTTAAAGTGAATTAATTTCTGAACATGCTAATAGCTTTCTAAATTTGGAAGGGAAAAGAACTACCCTTATGATATTTAGTTGCTTTAGATGGCATCCACAGTATTCCTCCTCAAGATGTTTTGAAGGCAGACATTCCCAGAAACTCATGGGAGCTCCTGGCTTGTGACCGACCCAAATGGAAAAAACTTATTCTGGAAGGCTCCAAACACATTGAGAGGCTTAATCAGGGATATGCGAAGGTGTTGTAGGGCATCAGAGGGTCTACACAAACACCAAATACTTTGCTAAAGCAGAAGTTTCTGTAAAAGCTCCAGCAAATTCTGTTTTTGTTTCTGATTTACCAAATACTTTATCTTACTCAACCCTTCAAGCACAGTGCATACAGTCCAAACTGTCCTTACCAGTCCAAACTATCTAGCTTTCAGCACTCACTGTTCAGGTTATAGAGCAATGAAAAGATCCAGGAATTGTCCTGTAAGC